TATATATATATATATATATATATAAGTCTGTCTAAAAAGTAATAACATAAAAAACTGAATTTTTTTCTCAACAACTGGTAACACTGTAAAAACGAGACTGCAGTAAACCGAGAGGTAAGCGTCGTCTACAATGGCAGTAGGAGTATACAGTAAGACGTAAGCAGTAAGCTATTGACCAACCATAGTCGATTATTCTTGAATTGCAAAAATCCCATTAGTCAATAACTTACTGCTTACGTCTTACTGTATACTCCTGCTGCCATATTGTAGACGACGCTTTACATTCATACTCTACCTTCAGTTAAAATTTCAATTTGATAACATTAACACATGTGATTCTACAATCATTTGTATAATTGTAGAATATTTGTATGTATGAGTCACGATCTTACATACCATAAGACCGTGTGGTTTGGGTGACACGTCACGAAAATAAAACACAAGAAAATCGAGTACCGTTATGCGACCAAATTCTATGTCGAACTCCAAGATAATACGATGGAAATATTTAAGAAGTTGAAACAGACTTACAGAGATGAAGTTTTATCCCGGGCACAAGACATTTTTAGATGACGGTGAAATTATGAAGATGAATCCCGTTCTGGACCAACAATGACATAAACAATTTCGTGATTCAAATTTAATATAATCTATCACTAATCACCTCACTGTCAACTTTTCAAACGTTTCTCTGTCATATTATCCTGAAATTTGACACAGAATTTGCTGTGTCAAACTTCACATAATGCTGCTTAATTTTCTTGTGTTCCATTTTCGTGACACGTCGCCCAAACATACAGTTATACAAATGATTGTAGAATTACATGTGTTAATAATCCCAGATAATATGCATGTTGCATAAGACGTCGTAAAGATATCTTAAGATATCTTAGTTGTCTTAAAGATATCTTTACGACGTCTTAGGCAACATGCATGTTATCTGGGATGTTATCAAATTGAAATTTTAACTAAAGGTATAGAGTATGAATAAAGCTCTCGGTCTACTGCAGTCTCGTTTTTAGTGTTACCGTTTGTTAAAAAAAAATTCTCATTACTTTTTAGACAGACCACGTATATACATATATACATATTATAACTTTTATACCTAGAGATACTATAATGATGAAAAATATTAACCAAAAAATTATATATTTAAAATATATAGGAGAAAATCAAGTCCTTGCATGAATTTATTGCTAAGCAAGAAGAAATTATGAATGCAATGAAGGAAAAGATTACAAAACTTCGCAATAAGAATAAAATGCTTCAAGAAAAAATCGATGCTCTTACTAAGGAATTTCAGAAATTTATAAATTTTGCATTTAATACTTTGCCAGAGCATGCCGATTTTTTATTGCCATTAGATCTGCTTTCTGTTAATAGCCCAAATAAAGAGAACACTAAGCAAGATAAAAAACGATAATTTAAGAAGAAAAAAAAGTGAAATTTATTGTAATAAAAAATTATATGATGGATAGAATATAGCTATCAGAATTAAAAGATGCCACTCGAAAGTTTCATTTTCAGTTGTTCTGCATTAATAAATAAATATATATAATTCTATTTATATTTGCCCTATGTTTTCAACAGTGCGAATTATAACTGGTCAAAATTACTCAAAATATTAATCCACGAGAAATGAATCTCCTGCATTTGTTACTTTGACAGCGTGATCATCGCTCACATAGGGGCGTACAGGATATTCCCAAGATAACTAGAATTTAAGATATTCTTTATCGAACGCTTCTTTTTTTTACATGGGAGAATTTCCCAAAGATAAACACACCACCGTCCCTTAGGGCGAGGGATGGGGATAGTGTGGAATTCGATACCATGTGGTTCCCAGATGTTTCTCAGAGTATTTCTAAGGTAATTAAGGATAAGATACTCTTTGTCCTATATGTATTCTGAAAACAGGAAAGGTCAATAAACCATCTAGAGAGTAGGAATGTTCCAGAACTTTTTGGCCCTATAAAAGGGAGAGCTCTCGGACTGCAGTCACAGTTCCACAAGCTCTCAAGTGCACTATACACACCTGGTCGAACTGTTAGTCGTAAGTATTATTGTATCAAAGTATTATTGTCAGAAAAGTGATAAATTCTTATGTTGGTGTAATAATTTTTCGCGAATTTTACAACAGAAAGCAAAAAAAAGTACATCAATGTATCATTTTATGAACAATCTTTTTTAATATTTATGTGATATTCTCTGAGACAGTAATTGCATATTGCATGTACATGAAGTTTTTGTAATATACGTACTTCAACAATTCTGTAATCTAAGGTTATTAGGTATTTTTTCCTGCATATTACATGACTATTTAAATCTGATAAACCTGACAATGTCTAATGATCCTTCTGGAAACATAAGACATTTAATAAATCTTTATGTACATGTACGCATTTATTTACGCAATTATCTCTGCAATGGACAACATTAGCCCTAATTAATTATTTCATATCATAATATTAATAAACAACTTATGAGAAAAGAACTTATTTGCCATACGCCTCTATTAGTGTCAACGTTTTCAAAAAAATTCATTCCGCATAACGCGTAATTTAATTATTATTCTGTATGTGCTTTAATTACAATAATTATATCAAATTGAAGTCGATTGTTCTTTAGTAAAAATGTCAATAAAGTTATTATTTATTTAAATCTTTAATATTATATATCTCTGTAATCAAATTTTAAATTAGAATTCTATTATAGTATAATGAAATTTTTGCTTGAAAAAATTTTTTTAACCTATTTAGCTTCTAGAAATTTAAATTGCAAAGACTTTTTTCAATCGCTCATAATTAAAAAATTATTGATGACTCGATTCAGTTAATTTTTTCTCAGCAAAAATTATCCAGATCATCTATCATTAGAAATAATGAATAAGAAGTTAGACATATCCGTATTTTAAAAATTTACATAATTTGTATGTTTCAATCTCTGATCAAGTCTATAATTGCTATCATCTATCATTGCTAAAGTCTATCATTATATTTATATTTTACATATATTTTTCAACACGTAATGTTTTTAACCTAATCTGTACAAATAAAATGTACATTTCATTACCCGTCTAGTGTCTCAAGTACTACAGCAAAGAACAATGGCTCGGCTAAGCTACGTCGTGTTGATCATCGCTATGAACGTATTAATGTGCGTTCTAGCAGAGGAAGAGACATATCCTCAAAAATACGCGGAGTTCGATGTTCAAGGTATGTTGCGTAACGACGATAGCCGAGAAGAACATATCAAATGCTACATGCAAACAGGGCCGTGCACAGAAGAACAGAGGTTGATGTCAGGTATACCTATATATATTATTATCGAATTATATATACATTTCTTTTTTCCTTTGCGATAGACTCTTTGATCAATACGAAATTAATGAAGAACATTAGCTTTCTGAATGTATCTCGAGCTTTAATTCTATTGTATTCAGATTCTATACACTTTGCTAATCAGGAGAGATGTCGATTATTATGAATTAGAATAAACAAGTACAAAAAAATATCCTCTTGATTTCAGAAATGTTTGGCGAAGCTATCCAAACTGACTGCAAGAAGTGTGCTGATGGGCACAAAGCAATTTTGATGCAAGTACGTGATTATTGGTTACAGAATCAACCCGAGATGTGGCAGAAAATAGTTGTAAAGTCTAAAGACTATGTGAAGAAGAATTAAACAATAACTGCTGACAACTGTTGGCAATATGGACTGATCTATTTCCCGATGCGGTAACCCAGATTTTCTCAATTAATCGATTATAATAGTTTATAATATGATAGTCGAAATAATAGTTGTATGAACAGTAGCATCTGGTGGAACTGAGGCAACATTTTGTCGACATTAATATTACTAATATGCAATTTGTATCATATATAACAAAAATATGTTGTTATTGATCATACTACATTGCATATATCAATAAATTTTAGATTCTAGAAATTCTAGAAATAATTTTTCTTTTAAAGAAGATATCGTAGGGTTCGTTTTCTGTATGATTAGTTAAAATTACAGATGCTTAAATAATACCTGTAATATCTGTAATTAAATAAACGGAATAAATGATTGCACATACCAATTTATCGCATTTTATTATAAAATTTACCTATTTTATTATAAAAATTGTAGTCATGTTAAAATATGTAACAAACTATTCACAGAAAATATAGTACCGAAATATCGATGATCGTAATAGATATATTTATAATTCTGTACAAGTGTTAGATTAGTTGCTAATTAAAGTGTCAATGATTCACTCAAATTCCTCGCACTCTTCATTTGACAACCACGAAACCATTCTGGATCTCGCTCCAGATTATACGCCTTACGCTGATAAAATTGTGCTAACATGACAGACTTCAGGCCTACTTTGCTAAGTGGGACAGGAGGATAATCGTCAAGTCGCCAACCGTATATCCAATTCGTACAATCGGGAAAATAGAAACGCTTCTCCGGGGGTTCTTTATATCTAAAAAAATTTTCAAAAAGCATTTTATATTAGTCGAGTAAATTCCTTTCAAACAGAGATCTGTGCGCCGTGTTTGATTTGTATTATGCACTACCTTTCAGTTAAATAATTGTGAGTAGTGATAAAGGTTGGGATTCCTTTCTCATAAAGGATGACTCTTACATCGGGATCGATCGGTTTCATGCTATCTATATTGACGGAACCGTCAGATCTGGGTGGCCTCCAAAGAGGTAAGGGCTTCCGTTGTACCTACGTGCGTACAAAGTTTAAAAGACATGAGCATTGTGAATCAACAGATTGAAATTACAATGGGTTTGTCAACGCGAGCTGCTGCTCGTTTCTTAGACTCCGCAATTATTTCCCTGGCTCGTTTCGTGAATTTCGGCTCTTTTAACTGATCTATCAATCGTTGTTGATTTTTTATAAACCACTTTATCCGTATCGCGTTCTCCTTTCTTATCAGATCGTCGTGAAATAATTGAAAACGAGCGTTGTACACATCACCAGGAATTTTCGCCATGTTCCGCTCTTGCAATTTGTACGCTATTTTAAGTAAAGTAAAATAGACGATTGTTACGAACAATTTACACAGCCATCAAAAAGTATTTTAAGGAAAATAACTCTGAAGTAAGATTTCAAAATGTCACTGTTCTCAGATGTTTTCTCCTTTCTTCACACACTTCTAAGAAAACGAGAAATAAAGCGATGAATCAAACATGGAAATACACTATAATACTTTGTAGAATGATTTATTTACATCATTATTATGTATAATGCGTTTCACTGTGTTACACAAACTCAATATATACTTATTAATATGTGTACCCTATATTATTTTTATACTTTTTTATAATACCAGTGGGAGCATATATATCGACTATATACAACTTGTTTTTCAAAAAAGTAAACGCTTATAAAAGAGAAAACATAGAAAATGTGAAGTCAATTAATTTTATATAATAATACGTGGCTATAATAATTTGCGTAATAAATTAAAAAAAAAACACAGATTGATAAACGCGTCATATTTTGTACAGTATTATAGTATCTTATAATACCTGAGAAATAAGCATCTATTTGAGGTTTAAATAAAGAGAATTTTGAGATATAAGTGTTTAATACAAAGATTAACAGATTACAATAAAAAGTATAAACAATGAATTGAGAGTCCTGTTAAATTTAATAAAACATACTGACAATTGCATGCTTGAATTAGTATGCAAAATACATGAACGCGTGTAACAGACGCAGCCATGCATATCTGGATAAATGTTTCGGACGAAAGATTAGCTGCTAATCTCCCAAAAAAATAAGAAAAGATTTTGATAATTTAAATATACGTTTTATAAAGTTATGTTTAAATTTAGATGCCGCTCTCTTTTACATATAGCTTTACACATATGAATACTGTGCTATTTTTCTCTTCAACAATATCAAACGATTTATTCGGCAACGACGTAGGGTTAATTAAAAAATTGTAACAATAAATAAATATGGCGTGAAATATGAGTTTTACATGATATTACTCCCTCTTAAAGTCAACATCAAATGACCCAGTTATCACAGCCATAGGAAGCAATATTGTAGTTATATCGTATATGATTTAGATACATAATTTATTTATATTACAAAATGACTAAGGAGCATTTTATCATTTGTACTTGAGTAATCAAGAGGAATCGTACTTGTACAAATAACAGTTTAATTTTTTCTACACTGGTTTTTCTCGTATTTTATACTGTACATCTGTAATATATTTTATAGTTTTATCTACAGTCTTCTATAAAATAATTACTTTACAACACTTGTAATTCCTTTTGTTTAGGGTAGCCAATCATGCCCTGTGTTAATTCAATTCACTCCAATCCGTACCTATAATCCGAACACGAAGTGTTACATCGTATTCTAGTTCAACTCAGAATTTCATTAAGTAGTCTTCGTAACTTTTTAACGTCAAATATTTGATTAATTTTTATAACGTCCTCTTAATAACAATTGTCTAATTTTGCGAAATGATCCTGCATGAATTATGCGCATTTAATTATGCTCTCTAAAGTATAGTTTATTATCGACGAAATTCCTGCATGCATCCCACTGTTTTCTTAACTTACTTAATGGTACAGTGTTGGAGTGGGCTGCAATCTAATTGCACTATGTGCGTAACCTATTTTCACTATTCAAGTGGAGCATATCTTTCCTCTCTTCTTAAAAAACATTTTTATACTCGATAATGCCAAAAAAATGTTAGCTTGATTCTCTGCATCATGCTTTCAACAGTAATTTATTGTATCTACTTTTAAACAAGCGTGAATCCGTCTGTACAGTATAAATATATTTGCTTGGTGTTCTTTAAACAATAAATATTACCATGTTAATCCAATTAAGTATCAATATTGAATAAATTACTAATAAAATATTCAGATTTATTTGTATGAGCTAGATATATACAAATGTTTATTTATAAAGTAATATGGAAATTACAGCAAAAAATAAATAATACAGACAGATTATTTACATTCAAGTTTGATATACCTACATCAAATTGACATTTTACTGAATGTTCATTTATACTCCATCATGAACAGTACAATAGATAATAGCATTCTATTTCAATTATACACGTTGGATGGCAGCCAGCGAATGTACCAGGATTAATAATTATTTCATGATTTCAAATTTAGTATTGCTAATAAAGTAATTTTGCAAATATTCTAAAACAATAGTATTATTTCCATACTAATTTCGCATACATGACAGAAAATCTATTGAAAGCATAAGGTACAATAATAATATAAAGATTAATGAAATGATATTTTTTCTTGCTCCAACTTGCAGGTTTGCTATTTAAAATCAATCATCCTCGTTCAATAATCAGAAATCAAAAAATTAAAAAGAAAAGAGATAACATTATTAGCGCCATTATTTGACGCAGTTATGTTAACAATAATTGAAGAAATTTACATATCAACATTCAATAAATCTAGGTCCCGTACCTTTGCTTGCTATTGTCTCTCTTTAGCGTCGATTTTCGTTTCTTTGCGATAAAGAACGTACGTAAGAATGCCGCTCAAATAATGGACGAATCAACGAAATATTCATTGTCAATAGACTTTTATAATGAAATAGTTTTCTCTCTTTCTTTCTCGTAATGGACAATCGACAGTGCGATTTTTTTTACATGCCTAACTCGTAGTCACTTTGAGTAACACGGGCGGCGAGGCGTGGTTGTTAAAGTACAGACCTGCGCCTTGAAAACTGTTGGATCTTGATGCGAGCGTCGGGTTCTGATTAATTCCGCTCATACCGTTGTCAAGCTCGGAGTCGCTATAATCATCATCTTGCTTGCCCCGTAATGCATACTTGAATGACTCGTATCTGTCGTGAAGATTAAAAACGCGTTACGCGACGCGACGTAAAGACGGTGAATATTACGTAATCTAACAAAAAACAGTAGAAAGAAACACAAAGTCGATTGACTTACATCACCCAACAGATAGCGGTGGCTGGTGCTTGGAATAAGACACGTGCGCGTAGTCCACGAAAGTATCCCTGTACCCCGCCGAACCTATAGACCTGTTTAAATGCATCTATCATGCCTTGAGCGTGCACGCCGTCCTGCTGTGTGTTCAGCACTGTCTTGCAAACATCCAGAGGGGTTGTTGCAGCGGCCGCAATTGCACCTGCTGTTGCACCTGGTTGCATAAAATCGATTAAAACTTTAATCAACTATATTTCCTCACAATATTTCGGAATAATACGTTAATAGATTGATTTTTATATAGTTCTTGCAAACGTAACGTTATATATATCTTTTCCAAAAACATTGAAAATGTAAATGTAGAAAATTTATATTATGGATAATCAAAAGACTCACCAGATACGATATGTGCTATTGGATTGTAAGCGTGCTCTGGATTTGTAATGGATTGCACGAATTCATAAGAGATAAAATGAATACTCTGAAAAGGCACATTCATAGCCAATTGAGTCGTGTAACTCCTGTAGAATGCAAATATCCCTTCTTTCTGATACACGTGTTGTATACAACTCAACACATTCCTATAAGGGGAATTGTACATCTGCAATCGTTGTTTAACCACTGTAACAAAATAATATTACATGAATCTCTACATCTCCCACGATTAATTTTTTAAGATAATCTAATTTCTAGATTTTCTCTAAATATAACATTTTAGGAATCTATATATTTTTTTACTAAATTTAAAATAGTGAAAGAGATTGGTGATATTCAACTCATGGTTAGATAAGAAACTGTGTATATCTTCATCAATTAAATGATAACAATAAGCGTAGCACACAGATTGCAAAATTATCTGTCTATTTACAATGATATACGTTATCAAATGAGTATCAAATATCACATATCAAAGTAGTTTTTATATCGAACCTTCCGCTGGGTTCATGACACCGTCATGCAGAACTGTTGCTACGCAACCAGCCGCCCCGTAGACAAGATGATTGAACTGAGATCTCGTACTCTTGAACTTTTCTTTAAGACACTCGTAGCAAGAAAAGTATAAAGCATGCGCAGGACCGGCACCGGCAACCACTGCGCTGACAC